CTGATTTTAACCTGTGCTTCCCTATCATGGCCTGGGGTTTCCCCACATGAAGTGTAGAGTACTGGAAAGCAGGTATAGCCCATGGCATGCTCCTCCCAAAGCCAGTTTTGTGAGGGCCTTGGCTAAAACTCTCAAAATAAGAACATGTGCAGAATTACCAACAACAACCCCAGAAATGGGATAGATTAAAAAAAAAAAGACATCAGAACACCAGGAGGTATCCTTGGAACAGAGTCCTTTTGAACCTGAGTCAATCAGTTCCCGCTGAGTTTCACTCCCAACTTACAACCAAATGTGAGATGCGGCATAAAATAGAAGTATGGGGAAAAGATGGGGAAGAAGCACCCCAAATCTCTGCTGCAAAGGAGCTCTCTGCCATCCCCTGCTTTTTCATCTCCCCCACTGCCCCTAAGTGCTACCATTTTATGTCTTCTGCCTAACCTTTCTTCATGTTTTCTCTTTAGTTCGTCTCAGTCCAGCCTCTGCCCTCTCCATTACACTTGCCTCCAGCTAGACAGTACTAAGGGGTTGATGTTTTGAAAAGTTGCTATAAAGACCAGCTTTGCCATGAGAGGGACAGTCCTTGTCTTCTAGCTCAGCAAAGGCATATTGGTAGGTAGTTAAATGTCTGCAAGAAGTCTCCTTCCCACAAGCCTCCCCCAACGAGAGTTATGAAAGGAGCCCACCGTTGCAGCAGTCATCAAAGAGCCCAGCAGCGAGGTAGGCAGACATCGGCACCGGGACCGAAGCAGGCTCCTTCGCCTCTCCCAGCCACGAGGTTAGCCCTTCTCACCGGCGCTTGTGAGGGGCTGCCTGCTGACCTCGGCTGTCCGAGAGGAGAACCTCTCAGGTCTTTATGTGATTACTTCTGGCACGTGGAAGGAGTCCACCAGAGGTTCTTTCAGACTACTCAAAAGGGCAGTTTGAAAGCAGTGTCAAGTTTCTACAGGGAGAATCCTCACTACTTAGATACCTAGACAGCACACCTTCCAAATACCGTTTTTTCTACTTTTTCCAGAGTCTCTCAGGTTCCTCTCTTCGCCTAAAATGGGGAGGGGAAATGGTCAGAAGGTCACGAGCTGAAAAATACACAAGCCAGCAAAAGATCCTAAAATATTAAACATCTTTCATGGGAATGCAGTCTGCAAAAAATCAAACCACAAAGAAATGGCTATTACTTTTCTTATTTTGAAGCTGCTTCTCTGGGGACGCTGGACACACAAAATTCTGCCGGTAGCAACAAACACAGAAGTTTCCATGCACAAATCCAATTAATTCCATCCAAACTATAACACATGAGCGAGGAGAAAAAAAGCCAGAAAATGGGTACCCAGATACTATAAATTCCAGGTAAACACAACAGATGCTATAGTAAACATTAAGAGAAACCTGTGATAAAGATTTTTTTTTTTTTCTTCTCTGAGGGGTACTTTCTCTCTATCATCTTTAAGACTCCAGTTTCCCCCAATCGAAACTGAAAAAAGGGGTGCACCAAAAGTATAGGAGCCACAAAACAAAATAATTCATAGGGTCATCATGTAGGTACCGTCTTACCACATTTCTTTCCTAAGTACCTTCCAGTTCAGTTAATATTTTGAAATGTTCTCTGTGAAAAAATAGCCTCAACAGGTCTGGAAGGAAATACTGCTTGCCTCTTTCATTACTGGAGATGCCTCATGATTACAACAGAGTCCTTCTGACTCAGCTTCTCAAAGACAAGATGGTTAACAACATGAACAGCAAGTACAGAACTCTCTCGGTCTCTAAATTGCTGAGTATGAAGGAGAGGAAGGATAAATTATTAGAGTAATATCCAGAAAAAAAGCATGTGATTTTCTACCTTCTCTTTTTCTGCCGCAGAAACTTATCTGCTTTGTTTTGTGGTAGATACATTTTTAATCTTTTTTGTTTTTCTGGCCCCAAAGACCCACAAAATTCGATCAGCTGGCAGTGACTCTTATGGAAGAGAAACGAGTTTGTGGGTGTGAGTCAGTAATACCACCTCCTTCTCAGCAACAGCTATCCCACGTGAGGATGCCAGATTTCTATTAGCTGACAAAGTGAAGTTACTGAAGGTTTGCACATGTGCCTGTGTTTTGCTTTTTAAAAACGCTCTTAAACATTCCAGCTAACATTGCCAGTGCATATTCATTTGATGAAGCGGTCATATACCTTGAGAATGAGGAGTTACATCACTTCATTAATTTCCACTTGTCTTCTGGGAGTGTGCACATCCAATAGGACAAAATATGTTGGTAGCATAATGCACTTCCGATATTCTCAATTACGGCAGGTTGCTAACACTTTTTAGCAGAAGCGTAAATCAAGGTGGCATGAAGGCGACTAGTTTTATTAAGCAGTGAGTTTCAGGAAAGAAGCCAGCCAGCTTCTCTGAGGACACCACTTCTAACTAATAACACATCCTGATTTGGAAAACACGGGCAATTCTGAGAAAGGTAGCAAATGTAGAAAAAGTTCTGTTTGAAACACACTTAAAGGCAGTAAACCCCCGTAGACACCTCCAGAAAGCTTTAAAGCTACAAAGCATTGGTCAAAGAAAAGGATTCAGGTTCATCAAATGTTTTCAAGTAAAGAAGAGCAAATCAGAATGCAACTAATCAGGGCATTGAGACCACTGTTAACGAAAGGAAGTCAGACACGACAGACCTTGGTTTGAATACGGCCTCTGTGTTTTCCTACTGACTGTAAGCAGGGTGGGCCAGCCTTGGGAAGAAGTCGCTTTGAATTCTTTGTTGCCATCTTAAGTTTAGACAATGAAAAACAGCGGGCAGATGGAAAACTACTTTTGTGAACTCCATTAAAAACTCACCAGAGACATCATACCTGATGTTTTAAGGCAGCCACTGATGCATAACTGACCTCGTAGTTAATAGAAATTATATACCTAGCAGGTTTTACATGATTACCAGAGTACCCACTTGTATTTTCAGGAAATTTCTGACCTTTAGAATTGATCGTAGATTGCCCTGTTACGGATCATTCTCCAGATTAAGAAAAAAGAATAATGCATGACTGCCAAAGCTATGGAAATAATGTCCTTATAACAGCACCTCATTTCAGTGATAACAGCAAAATAAAGAACGCTTAATTTGCAGCAGATGTGACCTATACAGCCCCTGCTGATAAGCAGGCCCACTAAGGATACATCCACTTTCATAAATTTTTCCATTCCACAGGATAATGTGGAATAATCTTCCCAAAAGCATGGCAAAAAAATTAAGCATTGCAAAAAGAAAGATGTCAATGCCTCATTTCACACTTACTAAACTGAGCTTCCATTTTATACGTTGGTACAACTCTCCTAAGTGAACAGGTCTAAACAGAGTAGGTGATTCTTTGAAAAACTAATAAAAATGCCACTTGATATTTTTCAGTTATTCGAACAGACACATTAACAAGCAGACCCCTGTAAAACCAGCTGAAGTTGCTCTTCTCAGAATCAGCAATTCCAAGAACACTAATTAACAAAATCTTTCCAGCAAGAGAAATTCCAGCAGGAACGGGGAGTAAGAAAATCATAATAAGCCACATCAGAATTCTTGCTTAGAATAAGCATTGACAGAATTTGCCTTTCTCTGTAAACTCATACATCCAGACTTTTGCAGCCCCAAAAGCATCCCCCAAAATCCCTCATTTGAGGATTTAGAGCAGAAGCTGCAATTCTCGTTACAGGTGAGGGCAGGGCACAAAGAATCAAACGACAGCAATGCACAAGCTATTAGAACACGGACGTGCTGTATCTGGAATAAACCCGTCAGCCACAGGGGGACCAAAGTCCCTCATTTCAGCATTCATTTCAGCACTGCCCTTCAACTCCTCTGAAACACAAATTCTGTCTCAGGGGAAGGTTCTGTTAACCACAGACTATAAATTCAAAACCAGGCAAACAAGCACAAAGAAAACTAATATATTTTAATTGGATAGGCTTAGGAAATGCAGTTTAACATACAGTTAATTTTGGTGACAGGTATATTGAAGCCAAAGGCTATCTATCTCTCTCTAGATATAATTAATAATACATTTTTTATTTCTTAACACAAAGACTTTTACAGAATTAACAAGATGTATTACATTGAAAAGCATATCTGGCTGAATATTTGAAGTAGCAAGGAATATTTTAATTCATGGATTAAATTTTCTTGTGTCAGAGGGCGGGGTTTGATTTTTTTTTTTTTTTTACACTTTTCTGTTTTATACTTTCAGAGTAGATAGGAAATGCTATATATCAGTTTGACAAAGGATATCATTGCTAAGTTTTAGTTTAAAAAAAATGACGGCGATAGAAGATACAGAAACCAGATATTTAAATATAAATTATTTGTTTTGAAAACCACTTAGCAAAATATAGGAAAGGAAGAAGTGCATTACAAAAATATATGTGTGCTTATTAAAACCCTTGTGATTCAATGCTCAGCTTCGGATGCCTGATGAAAAAATAAGATCAGTCAAGACAGTCCACATCATAGTTCAAAGGCTAATTGGTGTGAACATCTCTGCACTTTCAGTACTGCAGACATCCTCAAAATTGGAAAAATGACCTGCTCTCTTTCAGGCTAAGTACCAGCATAAGAAACAAGAAATGAAACCAAGAATTTTATAAGAATAAACATATTATTTGTATAAGAAGAAAACTCTGAAGAAAAGCTACCATTGATATTTATACAGTCAAATCTAAAGCTTTTCACAACGCATCATAAAACTAAATTTTCTCTTGCATATACTCCTTCATGCATTTTAGTTTCTAATTCCCTCTTATTTTAAAATAGGCCACTTTATTCTAATATCAAGTAAATGATGCCTTTTGGTATGGGGAATAGCCTTTATTATTTCCAATGAAAAGGAATGAACAGCATTTATACTAAAAAAGTGGTTAGCATAGCTCAACAGACACTCTAAGAAATTTGCCATGTATTATTCTGAAAGCATCTAAAATTTTCAGTCCCTGAAATCAGTTTAAGACACTAATTATGAAGTAATGCACATCAAGGCTAAATCCTCCCTTATTTAGCTCACTCCTTGTTTAGAAAATGTCTCCTCTTCATTTTTGTCATCCTCCACTCTAAACTCCCCAAGGGTTCCTTAAGATATTAACAAAATCATCATCATCCATGATTCCAATACTTAATCCTTCATAGTAGTCTTCGAACTCAGAATAGGACACTTCATTGGGGTTGCTGCAGGACTCTCGTAATGTTTCTAGAAATGACGATTTAATTTCTTCTTCTGTAGCTTTGCCTGTGAAAATATATTTTTCCATTAAATAAATTTTCAACAATGGTGAATATATAGCATTTAATATATTCCAGGCAAGAAACTTTCAAATTTTAGCTTGCAAATATTTTTTTCTTGAACAAATTCAATATTCTGATTTCAGAATGAAGTCATTGGCTAACTTAATACCAGCTGCAGAAATCATCCTACTTTAATAGCACATGATAGCATTAAGTAGCAACAGAAATATGACACCACAGTCAATTTCAATGAACTATGAGATCAGGAAGATTTTTTTCTTCAAATGACTGCAAAAACTGAATAATGCATTCACAAACTAAAATTTTGGTAATGCACAAGTTATCTTGTAATAAAGCATATGTTTAATGTAATACAAGTTCAAAGCTCTAGGAAAACCTTAAGATGCAAGTTTGCATTTGAAAAGCGTTCTGCAATTGACGTGTGTTTCAGTGACTTAATAAAGATTATACTCAAGATGATTTCATAACATTGAGGGGAAAAAAAAAACAGAAAAAATATAGCATTATAGCATTGGAAAAAATTGCATATGTAACATTCCTATACCACCATGTGTCCTCATGTGTTACCATTAAAATCGCCGGCAATACAAAAACGATCCTCTCTTCTACAGGTAAAACTGAAAGGGTCAGGACACTAGGGAGACTTTCACAATGACTAGTTTGGTACATGGAGATGTTCTTTTAGAAACTGACATACAAATATTTAAATTGCTATTTTTTCAATGGCAAAGTTTAAACATTTTTGAGAATCCTGAAAAAATAATGAAGATACCAACACATCCTCTGTAAAGGATGACAATCCTGTCCCAGAAATAAATAGTTTATTCAGAAGGAACTTCAAGGTTGAGTACATTCAGTGTCAGTTGGAAACCTTGCATATTTTGATGGAAAACGGTAATATGAAAATGAGAGTATCCTCCTAAGTGAAAATTACTAATGCTGTATGTGTCACTGACAACTTGCACACCAAAGCTGAGAACTAACTACTTAAATGTATTCA